GGTGGTGTGCATGTATTGTCCCTTATAGGGTTTGGGAATATCCATAGTAAAAAAGTATTTATTTTTAGAGCCACAATGGTACCTGAGGTCTGTCTCCATTACACTTTTGGACCAACAGTGTCACAACCTTTAACTAGTCCCTGTGTGCAGCAAGTGCCTTTTAGTGAGAGTGTTGTGGGAGGGAAGTAAAGAGACTCAACAGATTTCTGTGTGCCACTCCTGTGGCTCTGCTGGGCTTGCTGTTGGTGCTTCCTCCCTTCTTTGCAAACGATGCCAGAACTTCTCTGCAGCAGCAAGAGCACCAGTTAGTTGTGTAGATGGGCCTTAAGCCAAGAAGTTTTTGACCATGCTTGTAGGAACATTTTAGTTTAGCTTATGGGCACTCTGAAAGTAATGGGTATTTATAAATTTGATTTTCGTAGTGGCAGCTTGTTAGTAGTGTTAGTTCTATGCCTGTTAATAGTCTGAGTTTTAGTTTTTGGAAATGCCTGAAATAGGAAATCTATTGTAATGTGTTCTTGTGGGGTTTCAAGTCTGACTTGTGTTATAAAACATAATCAAACCTTAAAAGCAGGTAGTAGGAAATGAAAATAGTGCATGGCCTTTTTGATCTCTGAGGGTAGTTCTCATTTTTGTGGCACTATGGCTGTCATTAGCACAAAGCTCATGTCCTCACCTCCTGTTAGTACTCTCAATGTTCAGCTGCTCTGTGAAGTATTTTTTAATTAAGTCTTTTCCTGCAGTGACCTCGTCACTGCACATTGCAGCTATGGCTGAACAAACGATCTTCCCTCCTGAAATCAGTCTTCCTCTGTGGAAACACTGTATTGATTTCAGTCTCCTATTTGTAAGTCAGGTTAATTAACGTGTGGAGAAGCTTCTGTGAAAACTGTGTGTTACCATTAACGAGTCAGAGCTTTTGATCCCTGTTCCTGTTGCTTTGATTCTTTCTTCTTGACACTTTACAGGATAGCTGCTGCTAAAATTCGAGGTTGAAGTTATTTATCGCTCAGAGCCAACTTGCCCAGTTTAATGCAGTAAGTTTGGGTTAGGTTTTCCTTGCAAGGTTTGTTTGTCCACTGCAAGATACAATTTTTCTTTCTGTGCTTATCACTACCAAGGTTGATTTGTCTCTTGAGTGGGGAGGGATATCACGTCTTTAATCCATCCCAACTCAGGCTGTTTTCTTTTTTTGAATAGGAGACTGCAGTGTAGGGAACAAAACTTTGAGAACAAGAGGAAAAAAAAAAGTGTGGCAGCAATGATTTATAGTGAGTAAAACTGTAATGTGGCGTTACATCACTATTCTACATTTAATTCAAGTCTTAATATATAAAAAGGAAGTTATTTACAAAAATGTGAGATAACAGTGACTTAATCTTCCTTTATGACTTCAAATTTGCAATAAATTACGAGTTCTATAGAGAAATAGGGAAAATGGAGTTGTTTACAGCCTCCTACAAGCTCTTACTGAGTCATGCTGGGCCTGTATGTAGGAACTGCTGTTTTGGCTCACACTTACTTGTAATTTTTACAGGACCAGCTGTATCTGTGTATTCAAATGCAAAAAGCCTGGAAGTGTTTTCCAGTTACTATTCCACTGTAGAACTAAGAGTTTTTCACTTTCCAGGGGATTATTTTGAAAGAGCACAGTCCCAGTGCAGGCTGGAACGAAGACTCAGTGCTGAAGCTGGTGGGTGCTGTGACCTGGACTGCAGTGAGCAAACCTTACCCGAGTTCAGCTTTTGAAATGGAGATCCCCTTTTCTCCTGTATTTCCTCTGCCTTGTGCTTGTTTGCAGACTCGTGACACTGCTGTTGATTTCTTCCTTGTTAGTAAGAGTCAAGTTATGGCTGTGACTTTTCCTTTACTTTGGCTAATGAAACAAAGGCATGGGGAAGGTGCAAATAGTGTCTCACTTCAAGTATTAAGCATCATCCATGAGACATTTGGTTGTAGGGAGAGGAAATAAATATACAAACACAATCCTCCCCACTCCTCCCCCAGAACCAAGAGCAAATTCAGTATTTTCCAAGGTTTCTGATTTACATAGGAGATTTCCAGGAATGTGGAGCACAAACAGATGTGATCGATCTCTGGTGACAAAAATTTACATGTATTCAATTTAGTCAACACAGCTCAGGATGAGAATCCACTGATGGATAGGTCTTGCTGACCCTGCATGTCAAACAGATTTGATGTCAGATGAATCAGAAGGAAGAAACCTATTTACAGGAAGGTCATGTTGCACTGCCTCTTTACTGTTCTTCCAGGATTTCTGTACTGTTTTTACTTGCCTAATTTGCTTTTCTGTCCTGAATCTGCAGAAACAGCAGCAGGGGTGTGGTTTCTGGGAGTGGCTTCCAAGCACTTGCACAACTTGCAAGTGGTTAATCTGAGGAGTCTGGGTGGAGCTCAAGTGCCTTCCCTGTGCCAGGTCATCTTTCAAATACAGATGTGGACAGACGAAGTGACTTCAACTGACCAGTCCACTTACTGGCTCTTCTGGGGTCATCTTGGCTGTATTATGTGTCTGGAACTTATTTAACTCATCAAAATCCTTTATCACCCAGAAAATATTACTGGGCAAGTGAAGCACTGGAAGGGGTAGAAGCAGGGGTCTATAAACACATTCTGGATGCTCTGTGTTGTGGGGGCATCTGATGCCTCTCTCATCTTCATAAGCTTTCACTTGACTTTGGGGGCTGGGTGGCTCTTAAAGGAGGATGTGGAGAGGCTTAGGTTGGATGTTAGAAGAAGGTTCTACACCAGAGGAAAGTCAGGCACTGGAACAGGCTCTGCAGGGTGGTGGTCACAGCACCAAGCCTGCCAGAGTTCAAAAAGAATTGGGATGATACTCTCAGGCACATGCTGTGGCTCTTGGGGATAGTCCTGTGCAGGGCTAAGGCTTGGACTTGAGGATCCTTGGGGGTCCCTTCCAACTCAGCATATGTGATTCTGTGACCTTGGGTAAAGAGATGATGCTTGGCGTCTGTGGCAAAATGCAAGGGAAAAGAAAATTCCTGAAGAAATTCAGTTCTTGTTCAGAATTTGGGCTCATTTATAGTTATCAATTCCTAATGGTGCCTCAAGGATTTTTCCTCGATGACTTCCCTAGAGATCCCAACTGATGCTGCTTATGCCTGAGGTAGGATCAGGCATCCCAGCCTGCTGTCCCCCAGCCCTCTGGGGGCCCACAGCAGCTCCCTCTTCTCAGAAGTCATGCACAAGCCTCATCCTTTGTCTGCAGGCCCCAGGTTGCATTTCTTGCCAGGGATTCTGCATCCTCTTGAGCACACTCAAGAGGTCTGATGCTGATGGCAGAGCCGAGAATATTTTCATACCCAGCGAGACACAGATGGTTCATGGCATAGATCCATGTGTATAATTTATCTCCAAACACAGGAGTTGCTGGCACACACCTGGGTTCTTCATTTGCTGGATTGTTCTCTTTGCAATTCTTCTTTGGTCAATTCTTCTTTGTAGGGGGTATGATTTATGTTTTCTTTGCTTTTACAACTTGTGGTTCTCTAACCACAGGAGCTTCCGTCCTGCCAAGAAAGCCCCTTGTATGTGTCACTGGAGGAGGCCCTTGCTGCTGCCTCTGGGTGACCACTGCCACATGAGGGTGGCTCATGCTTCCTAAAGCTTTGCACATAGGGGCTTTCCTGTTGATTATTCTTCAGTGTAAGGTGGGGAGTTTTCTGTGTGTGTGCGTGGGGTTTTTTCCTAATTTTTTTACATTTTTTTTTTTTTATTACTCCTTCACAAAGAAAGCCCCTTTTTCCTGGGTCTGTCAGAAAGGAGGTGCTGCTGACTTTGGTGCCATTGCTGTTGGGGCTGCTACTCAGAGCTGAGTTATGAAAAATGGTTTAGGAACTGGGTTTATTTATTTGGGTATCACACCACGTTTGTGAGTGAGGAAAGGTGCTGTTAGGCTACCAAGATGTGTAAGGCTCTATGGTGCTGTGTGACCTGTCCCCTGTGGAGGGTTGGTTGGAGGATCAGTGTGAAGATGCATTGAGGGAGGCAGGAGCCATCCCAGAGCTTCCTGGGTTTGGCATGGGGCTGAAAAGAGACCAGCTGCGTTCTTGTGATTGTGAACTACAGGTCAAAAATCAATAGATTCAACTGTCCAGCTGCGTACAGGGGGTTAATTACCACTGTAAGTGTTGAAATTCTTTTCCTAGATGTTGATTTCCTGTTCAAATGGAGACTTTTCAAATAACAACAGACAATTCCCCCTAAACCAAACAACAAAACCGCCAAACCCAAAGATACCGTGCTTCCAGTTCTTCCACACATTCATCTGCAGTGTCAGGAGGGCTTTGGCTGCATCCATCTTGCTGCAGGACCGTGATCTTAGTGCAGCAATGCACAGTGGAGCATCACTGTTATTGCCATCAGCTAATAATGCCCAAATACGTGTATTTTACATGGCTTAGGTTTTATTATGATCTGTTTATCCTACATTAAGATTCCATGCAGTAGTGAGAATTTTGTTGTACATGTGTTCATCTTATTGGAGCAGTTTTTGATTTTAAATACCCATATCCCATTTTTCCCTACAGGATTGATCTCTGTAGGCTCTCTTAGAAATACGACCAACTCAAAATATTTAATCTGTGGATATTGAAAGAATAATGGAAGTACAACATAGTTTACAGGGAGTACAGAAATACAGAAAAACGGTTCTGCTCAGTTTTCTGTTCAGCGTTTATACATGTAATTTTGTTTTGTGTCACAGTCCACATTCAACTCCACTCAATAGAGAAAACACATTGTCAAGGAAATGCTTCCCAGGCATAATACAAGGCTTTTTGTTGGGGAAACAGCCCCTGATGCCTGCAGTCAGATCATTGCACCTTTTTCCTATAAAACCATTTGAAAGAGCTGGAGTGGGAAGGGAAGGTCACTGTGGAAATGTGGAGGCAATTTGTTGGAAGATATGCAGACAGTGATTTTAACAGTGGTCCTTGTCTTACCTTGCCTGTGTCCTGGTTCTCTGATGCCTCCCAAAGCGGATCACTGGGACATCCGTGGCCCTGAGGGACAGGGCTGTGGTTTCAGGCCAGAGGTGGATCTAGAGGGGTTCTGGTGAGTCTTACGTTGACACAGCATGATGGTGATCATCAGGAGCTGGAGGATCAGGAGGCAGAGGCCTGTCAAGGGGGCCCAGATGAAGATGTGACAGAAGGAATTCAGCTCTTCCTGCATTGTTGTCTCTGCAGGAATAGGGAATGGGAAAGGTCCATCAGGTGCTCAGGGCTGGTGTTGGGGCCAGTTCTGCTGGAGCCAAGGGAGCTGCCAAGGGCCCTGCCTGGCATTCCACAAGGCTGGTGGTGAGGCAGAAATGTTCCCCTGGGCCTGCAGGGATGTTCTTCCTTAGTGCTGCTGCTTCCAGCATTTTCCTGGGCACTCGAGGGAGCATATGTAGCCAAATATTTTCGTGTGTCTCCTGAAGAGGGTAAAACCTGCCAGAGCTCACAAGGCTCTTCCCCCTCTCCCCCTCTTCCAAGTGTGCCCAGGCATGAAACATACTCCTGCTTTGTACCTCATCCTGGGCCTTTCCTACTTGGGATGAAACTATGTGGTGTTTAATGTTTCCAAATCTGCTGAAGTGCTGTGGATTTTCACTCTTCCCCCATCCCAAAATGCTTGCAAGATCCCCCTCAGTATCAGTGGATGTAACCCCAACTCTTCCCCTCTCCCTCCATTTATCCAGGCTACCTGGATCCAGGATCTTGAGGCAGGGGTCCTTTTCAGTGATGCCACGCTGGGTGGTGGGTCCTGGTGTGCTGGGTGCCACTGTGGTGGTGACTGTAAATGAAAATGGATTAATTCAGCATGTGGGGAAACACAATAAAACAGGTCTCCCCTGACCTTCTGTTCTCCCGTCCCTGCCCAGGGTACAGCTGTTCCTGTGCACAGCATAGGGCTCAGTTCTGGAGGGACTTCATAGAGCACATTTTGAATGGGGACTCCTCAAGGGAGGGTCTCCTAAGAGCCAATAAGGAGCAATAACCTCCTTATTTCTTGCTGTCTGCCACCATACTCAGAAAGACTGAACACTGAGTTTTGGGACCTATGTGTGATGAGGAAGGAGAGAGAGGTGGTGGACTTTGCTTTAGTCTTCTGATTTCAGAGGCATGGGTGAAATTAAGAAGTGGGGATAGGGAGTTGGTGTTGGGTCTGTCTAATCATCTTTGCCTTTGGGCAGGAGCAATCCCATGAAGAGAGACAGCAAGCTGGGAGCCTCTGGCAGGAGGACGAGTGTGTTGGTCACAAGATGCCTTGGGCAAGCAAGCAGGGAAATGGAGTTTGTGGGAGAGACGACTGGTTAAAAAAGGCACAGGCAGGAGGTACTGAGGACTTTGGCAGAGCTTAAAGAGGTTGAGTGGTGGAGGTTTTGCTCACCTGGGAAGAAGGCAGGCAGGCCATGGCTGAAATACAACATTTGGCTGATGTTCACGAGGCAGAAATAGTTCCCTTCATCCTGCTGTGTGAAAGACTTCACTACCAACCAATAGATAGTGTTGTCTTTGCTGGCCTCGAAGCGTGTGGATGTTCTCTGATTCCCCTTGAAGGTGTTCCCTCGGGACAGGGAAGAGATGAAGACAATGAAGTGAAGGGTCCCATTCTTGTCCTGGCGGACCCAGGATACTCCTCTATCACTGTCAGTCTGACACTCCAGTTCCAGCCGCTGTCCCACCTGGAGTTGGGTGATGGTATCACAAAACCTGACCTTCATCTCATACATCTCACCATGGATTCTGGGGCAGCCTGGAGGACAGAAATCCTTGTGGAACCACTTTGGAAGAGCCAGTGATCCCTTTCGGAAAAATCTCCTGCTCTGTCCATAGGATGGAAGTACAAATGCAAAGGGAGGACCACACTATCTGGATGACTGGAAGGTTTTGTTGGAATCCTTGCTGGGATCGTGCATGGAGGGTGCTCATCAATCAGCCATGTGAGTTTTACAGATGGGTACTGCCCTTCCAGCTGCCTTCTCAGGGATGTTACTCCTTTCCAGCTTATCTAAAGTGACTCCCTAAACCCAGTTACTGCTAAGTCCCCTTCTTTCCTGACCTTCTTCTGCTCTCTCGAACTCCTTGTCCAACCAGGCTCCCTTCCCAGTGCTCATGGCTGTCCTGTGCCAGCTGAGACGATGCCACCTTTCCCTCCACAATTACTGAGCACACCTCAAAGTCAGATTTTTTGGTTTGCTCTTTTTCCCCCTTCAACTATTTATCCCAATTTCTTGGATTCAGTGGAAGGATTTTTCCTTGCTTCTCCCAGTGAAGGAGCTGCACCACCCTGTGTCCATACTCACAGAGTCCCAGAGTGAGCAGGAGGAGCAGGACAGGAGACCCGTCCATCTTCTGCTGGGGGTGTCTGTCCTTGGAGACGGTGCAGTGCTGCTGAGATGATCTTTGTCACTTGACTCGGGAGGCTGGGTCACACTTTGGGGAGGATGTGATGTCATCAGGACCCTCTTGGGTAAAGAGATGATGCTCAACATCTGTGGCAAAATGCAGAGGAAAAGAAAATTCCTGAGGAAGTTCAGTTCTAGTTCTCAATTGGGGTCATATTTCCTTATCAGTTCTTAATTGTGCCTGAAGGAATTTGCCTGGATGACTCCCCTAGAGCTCCTGCCTGATGACTGCTCATCTCTGAGGTAGGATTGGGCACCCCAGCCTGCTGTCCCCCAACCCTCTGGGGGTCCACAGCAGCTCCAGCTCCACAGAAGTCACAGACAAGTCCCATCCTTTGGCTGAAGGCCCCAGGTTGTGTTTCTTGACAGGGATTCTGCATCTTTCTCTTGAGCACACTCAGGGAGTCTCATGTGGATGGCAGAGTCTAGAATATTATCTTACCCAGCAAGTGAGACACAGGTGTTTCATGGCATAGATCCATGTGTATTATTTATCTCCAAGTACACACGTTCCTGACACACAGCCGGGTTCTTCAGATGCTTGATTGTTCTCTCTGCAATTGCTCAGGAAAAGCTGCTTTGTGCAAGGGAGGTGGTCAGTGAGCTGAACACACTGAGAGTGCCCAATGCCCAGGTGTATGATTTGCTTTTTCTTTGTTTTAACATCTTGTAACAACTCCTCTAACCACAGGAGCTTCCGCCCTGCCAAAAACCCCTTGTCTGCTTCACGAGAGAGGGCCCTTGCTGCTGCCTCTGAGTGACCACTTGCACATGAGCGATGCTTCCTGGAACTTTGCACATACAGACTTTCCTGTTGTTATTTTTCTGTGTGTTTTTTCTTTTTTTGTTTTTTTTTTTTTTTTTTTTTTGTTTTTAACTCGTCCTTTGCAAAGAAAGCCCCTTTTTCCTGAGTGTGTGAGAAAGCTGGTGCTGCTGATTTCATTGCAATTTGCTCTTGGGGCTGCTACTCAGAGCTGAGTTATGGAAAATGGTTTAGGCACTGAGTTTATTTATTTAGGCCTTGCAGCATGTTGGTGAGTGAGGAAAGGTGCTGTTAGAATGCTGAGATATGTGAAATTCTCTGGTGCTGCGTGCCCTGTGCCCTGTGGAGAGTGGGTTGGATGATCAGTGTGAAGATGCATTGAGGGAGGCAGGAGCCATCCCAGAGCCTCCTGGGTTTGGCATGGGGCTGGAAAGAGAGCAGCTGTGTTCTGTGTTTCTGAACTACTGATCAAAAGTCAGTAGATTCCACCATGCAGTGGATTTTGAGCTTACAACTCAGTGGTGTAATTCTTTTCCTGGATGCTGATTTTTTGTGCAAATGAAGACTACTGAAATAACAACAATTGAACCCCACAAAACAAACAAAACCACCCCCCAAACCCAAAGATATCCTGCTTCCAGTTCATCCCTAGATTCATCTGCAGTGTCAGGAGGGTTTTGGCTGCATTGCTCTTGCTGCAGGACCGTGGTCTTAGTGCAGCAATGCACAGTGGAGCATCACTATCAGTAATGTCAGTTAATAATTCCCAAATATGTGTATTTTACATGGCTTAGAGTTTTGTTTTGCTCTGTTTATCCCACATTAGGATTCCATGCAGTAGTGAGGACTTTGCTGTACATTTGTTCCTCTTGTTGAAATGCTTTTTGATTTAAACACCCATGTCCCGTTTTTCCTTACAGGATTGACATCTATAGGCTCTCATAGCAATAGGTGTAGCAATAAATATTCAGTCTGTGGATCATGAAAGAATAAATTAATTTGAAAGTATAAAAAAGTTTACAGGGAGTACAGAAATAAGCAAAAACACTGCTGCTTGGTATTCATTTAATTTTGTTTTGTGTCACAGTCCACATTCAACTCCACTCAATAGAGAAAACACATTGTCAAGGAAATGCTTCCCAGGGATAACATGAGGCCTTTTGCTGGAGAAACAACCCCTGATGCCTGCAGTCAGATCATTGTACCTTCTTGCTACAAATCCATTTGAAAGAGCTGGAGTGGGAAGGGAAGGTCACTGTGGAAATGTGGAGGCAATTTGTTGGAAGATATGCAGACAGTGATTTTAACAGTGGTCCTTGTCTTGCCTTGCCTGTGTCCTGGTTCTCCGATGCCTCCCAAAGCAGATCACTGGGACATCCGTGGCCCTGAGGGACAGGGCTGTGGTTTCAGGCCAGAGGGGGATCTAGAGGGGGTTCTGGTGAGTCTTACGTTGACACAGCATGATGGTGATCATCAGGAGCTGGAGGATCAGGAGGCAGAGGCCTGTCAAGGGGACCCAGATGAAGATGTGACAGAAGGAATTCAGCTCTTCCTGCATTGTTGTCTCTGCAGGAATAGAGAAGGGGAAAGATGCATCAGGTGCTCAGGGCTGGTGTTGGGGCCAGTTCTGCTGGAGCCAAGGGAGCTGCCAAGGGCCCTGCCTGGCATTCCACAAGGCTGGTGGTGAGGCATAGGGCTTCCCCTTGGCCTGCAGGGATGTTCTTCCTTAGTGCTGCTGCTTCCAGCATTTTCCTGGGCACTTGTGGGAGGACACGTAGCCAATAGTTTTCACATATCTCCTACCAAGGGTGAAAGTCCTCTCCCCCCACTTCCCTGTCTGCCCAGACACGCTCATGCTTTTTTCCCCATCCTTAGTCTTTCCTACTTGGGATGAAAAATTGAAGTTTAATCTTTCCAGCTCTGGTAAATCTCTATGGATTTTCACTCTCTCCCCATTCTAAAATGCTTTCAGGATCCCCCTATGTATCAGTGAGCCAGATCCCAACTCTTTCCCTCTCCTTCCCTACATCCAGGGTACCTGGATCTGGAGTCTTGATGCAGGGGTCCTTTTTAGTGATGGTGTGCTGGGTGATGAGTCCTGGTGTGGTAGTGACTGTAAATGAAAATTTAGCATGTAAGCAAATACAGTGAAACAGATCTCTCCTGCCTTTTCTGCTCTTCCAGCCCTGCCAGGGTTTGTCTGCTCCTGTTCACAACAGAGAGCTCAGATCCATGTGGAATTCACAGAGCCCCTTTTGGATGGTGACTCCCCCAAAAAGGGTCTCCCAAGAGCCAGTAAGGAATGGCAGAGTCCTTATTTCTTTCTGTCTGCCACCCTCCTCAGAAAGCCTGAGCACCCTGATGTTGCTAGGGCTTCTGGGAGCAATGTTTAGGGGAAAGGATGGGGTAGTGGTGGACTTTGCTTTCATCTTCTCCTGTCAGAGCCATAGATGGGATGGAGAAGTGAGGCTGGGTCTGCCCAATCATCTTTGCTTTTGGGCAGCAGCAATACCATGAGGAGAGAGAGCAAGAAGTAAGCCTCTGACAGGAGGATTAGTGTGTTGATCCCAAGATGTCTTGGACAAGCAAGCAGGGAAATGTAGTTTTTGGGAGAGACGACTGGGTAAAAAAGGCACAGGTAGGATGTGCTGGCCACCTTGGTAAAACTGAGCGAGACTGAGGTTGCTGACCTGGGAGGAAGGCAGAGAAGATAGGGCTGAAGTACAGCATTTGGTTGATATTCATGAGGCAGAAATAGTTCCCCTCGTCCTGCTGTGTGAAAGACTTCACTACCAACCGATAGATAGTGTTGTCTTTGCTGGCCTCAAAGCGTGTGGATGTTCTCTGATTCCCCTTGAAGGTGATCTTGGATATGGAAGAGATGAAGACGATGAAGTGAAGGGTCCCACTCTTGTCCTGGTGGACCCAGAATACGCCTCTGTCCCCCCAGTCATTCTGACACTTCAGTTCCAGCCTCTCTCCCACCTGGAGTTGGGTGATGCTTCTGTGAAACCCAACCATAACCTCATTCCACTGGCTGTGGATCCCTGGGCAGCCTGGAGGAGAGAAATCCTTGCTGGAACCTCTTGGGAAGAGCCAATGGCCCCTCTGGAAGAAACCTTTCCTATTCATGGAATGGAAGAACAAATGCAAAGGAGGACCATGGTGTCTGGATGACTGGAAGGTTTTGTTGGAGTCCTTGCTGGGATCATGCATGGAGGGTGCTCAGCAATCTGCCATGTGGGCTTTACAGATGGGTGGTGCCCTTCCAGCTGCCTTCTCAGGGATGTTACTCCTTTCCAGCTTATCTGAAGTGACTCCCTAAAATTACTTTCTACTGGATCCCCTTTTCTCCCCTTTCTCCCTCCCCTCCATAACCACTTATCTGACCAGGGTCCCTTCCTGGTGCTTGTGGTGCTGCAGCCACCCCTCTGGCTGCCCTGCACTGGCTGAGGTGATCCTGCCTGTTCTTCCACAGTTACTGAGCACATCTCAAAGTCAGCTTGTTTGGATTGCTTCCCACCCCATCCCCCTCCGCCCCCCCCACAGCCTTTAATTTTTAGCCCAGTTTCTTGTATTCAGTGAAAGGTTTTTCCTTGCCTCTCTGGGTGATGGGGCTGCACCACCCTGTGTCCATACTCACAGAGTCCCAGAGCGAGCAGGAGGAGCAGGACAGGAGACGCGTCCATCTTCTGCTGGGGGTGTCTGTCCTTGGAGACAGTGCAGTGCAGCTGAGATGATCTTTGTCACTTGACTCGGGAGGCTGGGTCACACTTTGGGGAGGATGTGATGTCACCAGGACCCTCTTGGGTAAAGAGATGATGCTCAGCATCTGTGGCAAAATGGAGGGGAAAACAAAATTTCTGAAAAAATTCCGTTTTAGTCCAGAATTTGGGCTCATTTATCCATATCAATTCTTAATGGTATCTCACAGAGTTTGCCTTGATGACTTCCCTAGAGCTCCAGAGTTCTGCTCCTCATGCCTGAGGTAGGATCGGGTGCCCCAGCCTGCTGTCCCCCAGCCCTCTGGGGGTCCACAGCAGCTCCAGCTCCACAGAAGTCATGGACAAGCCTTGTCCTTTGGCTGAAGGTCCCAGTTTGCATTCCCCAGAAGGGATTCTGCATCCTTCTCTTGACCACACTCAGGGGGTCTCATGTGGAAGGCAGCAGTGAAACAGATG